GCACTTTTTAAATTTGAATGTGTGTGGAATAAGGAGGCGATTAGAATACCCCGAGTTCATGGATCTAATTGATAACAATGATATACTAGGCTTCCAAGCAACCAAAACTGATATATTGGATGATATCCATATTGAGGGTTACCATGTCTATCTCCAACATAGGAGCAGTGCTTTAAGAAGATCAGGAGGTGTCGGTTTTGCAATAAAAGAAAATTATGCTAAATATGCCAACCCCATTGAGGAAATGTGTGAGTATATTCTCTGGGTTAAAATCTCTAAGGAGCTATTTGATATCGAGCAAGGCCTGTATTTAGGAGTAGTATATATTCCACCCGAAAATTCTAAATACTTTAATGAAGATGAATACTATCAACTTGAACAATCCATATTACATACTTTATCCTTGAGTGATTAGGTTGTACTTTATGGGCGATTTTAACGCTAAAACTAGTAACCTGTGTGACTATTGTACCATAGAGAAACACATACTTGATGAGTTGGATATAGACATAAATGATTTGAGATCTGAACTCGAACCTGAAGCAGTACTCGATGATCTTTCTCTTCCAAGGGTTAGGTCGTCAAAAGATACATCACGTGTTAATAACTCGGGTGCAAAGCTGATAGAACTATGCAAGAATCTGAACTTATTTATATGATAAAATGGTTGGGAACACTACGTGTCTGGACAAGAGTGTGATCGATTATGTAATCTCATCGACAATGTGTCTTCCTTTATTTAAAGATTTTGAAATTAAAAGTTACTGTTCATTGTTTTCTGATGTACATTGCCCAATAAGGTTTTCTCTAGATAAATCAAAATGTTCAGAAAGTCAAAACCGCACTACAAAAACAGTGAAAAATAAGACGGGCTGTGAACCTAAGCCCAAAAGATTCGAGAATACAAAAAGCCAGATATATTTTGATAATATCGATAGAGACCGGATTGATTGTCTTGTCAAATTAGCAAAGTCATTACGTTTGGGAGTTGCTGAACCAAGCACTATGAATGATATAGCAAACGAAATCGCACAAGTCCTAGTCGACGCTGCATGTGCAACATTCGGGGTGAGATCTTGCTACCGGCGTGATGCGGACGCTCCCACTAAGAGAAAGCAAAAACCTTGGTTCGGTCACGAATGTAAAAAACAAAGGAACTACTTCCGTAAGGCTAAAAAGAAATTTAAGAAAACTAACACTATTGAAAATAGAAAGCTTTTCCGAGAGCAATCGAAGGCATATAAGAAATGCTTACACAAACATATCAAGAAACATAGAAACGATTTATGTAATTTATTCAGAGCCAATCGAAAACATAGTCCACGTGAATTCTGGAACGCTCTGAACAAAAATAAGAGTAAGGTAAATAACATTGAGCCTGCTATCGAAACATTTTATGAATTCTATAAAGATATGAATAAAGACATGAATACAGACACAATTATTGATGAAGAATATCCAAATTCTACTATGCACGATGATGAAATGCTCAATAGTGATATCACAATAGAAGAAATACGCAAAGCTGTAAAAAGCCTGAAAAATAATAAAGCTTCTGATATAGATCGCATTGCAAATGAGTATATAGTAAACTCCTTAGAATTATTAGCACCCGTATATCTTGATTACTTTAATGCCGTGTTCAATACCGGAAACATACCAGATGCATGGCTAACCGGTGTGATCAAGCCAGTATTTAAAAAGAAAGGTAACCCACTAGATACAAACTCATACAGACCAATCACAATTTTGAGTTGCTTGGGGAAACTTTTTACGAGAATACTAAATATACGATTGTCATCTTTCACTGATAACAATAGCATCCTGTCTCCCGCACAAGCTGGATTTAGGAAAAACTACTCAACAGTAGACAACATGTTTATCATCAATATGTTAATGCAGAGCCTTAAGTATAGCAAACAAAAGTTGTATTGTGCTTTTATAGATTTCACCAAGGCTTTTGACAAAGTGTGGAGAATAGGTCTTTAGCACAAACAGTTGAATAGTGGCGTCAGGGGTAAATTTCTCATCCTAATTAAAAATTTGTACAACAGTATTAAATCGTGTGTTGCTGTTAACAACGAAATATCAGCTTTTTCCCAAGCCTTTAGGGAGTTAGACAAGGGGAAAATTTATCCCCATTACTATTTTCATTGTACATAAATGACCTCGAGCAATCTCTATTGGAACATAACTGTCACGGTATAAATGTTGATTATAATCTTGGTGATGACGCAAACGTATTATTACAATTTATAACTTTACTGTTTGCTGATGACACAGTCTTATTTAGTCGATGCCCCGCCGATTTACAGAAAACCCTTGACTCGTTTAAATTATACTGCACTAAATGGAAACTAGATGTTAACATTTCAAAAACAAACATTATTATATTTGGCAGTGGTCCTGCTAAACGAAGTAAACTCCAGTTCATGCTTGGTGGAAAACACCTCGAGATAGTAGATAACTATGTTTACCTTGGCATAACATTCCATAGAAATCGAAGGATGATAAGCGCAATCAAATCTATTGCCTCTAATGCCAAGAAAGCTATGTTCTGTCTCCTGAAGAGAGCACGAAATATCAATCTACCTCTCGATTGCCTTATATCGGCGTTTGATTCTATGGTATCACCTATCTTGTTATATGGTACAGAAATATGGGGGTACGAAAATCTACAAATTATTGAGCGTGTCCATTTAACATTTTTAAAATTTGCTTCTGGATTAAGAGTATCAACTCCAAACTTTATGGTTTATGGCGAATTAGGCAGGGAACCTCTACGCATAACTATCTCAAAACGTGTAATTAAATTCTGGCATAACACCGCAACACCTATGTGTGATAAGAAACTTTCACAAATGATTTATCACATTGTTGAAAGGAATCATGATGTAAGCAATCCCTGGCTAGAATGGATTAAAACTATATTAAAAAACTGTGGACTAACTCATATATTCTATAACCCTTATACTTGTAATACCACATGGCTGTTTGCAAAGGTAGGCCAGATACTACAGGATCAATTCCTACAAGAATGGAGATGCAATATGGCATTGAGCAGTAAACTTAAGGCTACTGTTATCAGTATCTGACAGAAAAAACAAAATTTGAAAGATACCTACTAATGACAAAAAATATGTGTATTCCAATCTTAAAATTCAGAACATGTAACCATAATTTACCTATTGAAACCGGCCGTTGGAATAATGTAAAGAAAGAGGATTGTGTATGTGAACTGTGCAACTCTCCTTCAGTTGCAGACGAATTCCATTATCTGTTTAGATGCCAGGCTCTGTCAAAACATAGATGTGTATACTTACCAACTGCTTACCACAATAATTGGTCTAATTTATATACATTCAAGAGGTTATTATCCAGTCAAAACACGAGGTATCTTAAGAACCTATCGAGATTTATTGATGAAATATTTAAAGCAGTAAGAAAACACAAAACAGAAAAGATATAACATATTCATGCATGACATACTGTCATCTTGTCACATATTAATACTTTGTTTACATGCTTGTTCTTTTGTACTCTTTTGTACCACCGACGGTGGTTTGGAGAATAATAAACTGAAACTGAAACTGAAACTGAAACTGAGAAGGTCTTGGGGCATTCAGGAACAGGTGGGGATGGGGCTTATGTTTTTGCATGTAATGCAAACACCATTGCAGTTATATTATATTCTACCATGAATTTGGAATTCACTCGATTCTGATTGGTCAATCAGAGGCTATTAAATCACAATAAACCCCCTCTCATTGAAACACTTGGTTTGACGGCCGCATCACCGCGGAAGCTAATATTCATAGAATAGTTCTATTTTCAGTCATTGTCGGTACGTATATTTAAATAATTATATCTACAATTACAGGTTACAAAATGCACAGATCCGGTTACTACAATATTCAAAGGATTTGTGGCAATACATTTCGTGCAGAAAAACACGACAGATATAAACAATGGGAGTGTATTTACGTTTTGGAGACAACAGAGAGCTTGGAATTTTGGCGCTTTTCTATATACGACTGTGACGTCATATCTTTTGCGTCACAATGAGCGATATGACGTCATAATGGTGACGCGCGATGTAGAGCGAAAGCCTTGCAAAGCTTGCTTTGTTTTCTTTAGTGATGCCCACCTCATGTTAGCTTACCAAGTTGCCGTGCTTATATGCTTTCAATGCCTGTCATATGTTCGGTGTTACAGTATTACGGTGTAAACAAACTGCTTGAGTATATACAGCACCATATTTTGTTCGGTGATTCCGTAATTCAGATCGATAACCCTCTCAAAACATTGAACTCAACCCATGCCGCTTCATTCAGTATATTTGCTAACACCAAAGTGTTCGCGTTTTATTTAGTCATGGTAGAATGGAGATAAACATACTGTGTTCTAAATTTAACATTTGAAACCTCACGCTGCGCGTTCGGTTCCAAATGTAATTATAGCGGGGTTAAATCTACAGGTAACCTAGCTCTACATTGAAAGCACAGTATGTTTATCTCCTAATTATTACTAAAGGGCAAACGTTTCAGGTGAGTAATAAGGCATCAACATTCAAGTTCAATGCCATTAACATGTAGGATAATACACGCTGGTAAAACCGCCAGCCCTACCTTGAAATACATCATCTGTAATTACACTTGCATTTCATACAACTCTAAAGACATATTTTCTTTCGTCATTGTCTGTAAGGTACTATGTTCTTGAAATACATTTGCACCTGTTGATTTAATTAAAAGCTAGACAAAGACGGTAATAGCACAACCACCTCAACATTGACCACTTCGCAGTATATAATTGTGTGTCAGTGTTTTAACGTAACGGTTCCAGTCAGCAATAACACAGCTACATCGAAAAACTCGAGGACTTTTAATGATATGGCTTGGTCAGCCAAACCAGTGTTTGTTCGAACTAGCACCGGTCTACAGTGATACGTTCAGCCATGTCACATATTGGAACCACCTGATATCCATTTTCTGTTTCAGTGACACAGGACAAAAGAAGTCAAAGCGTCTGGAACGTCCTTGGCAGGTATGAAAACCCCGTGGCAGGTGTTAATGTTGTACTTTAACTGAGAGAGTTGGAATTTCTCTGTTTGGTATTATATTGATAACTTGGTACAGGTATGGTATGGCAGAGGGGTCACTGACAGGTAATCTGATCACTTCGTTATTTATTCCTGTACCGGAAACACCACGCCCCGAAAGTGAAACGGATATTTGCAAGCGTTTGTTGACCTTCTGTATGGTCTTACTACCCCTCCCAACACCTGAAGGTGCCAACGGAATCGGTTGGTCAGGCTCGCTGACTTGGTTGATGCATGTCATCGTTTCCCAGTGGCGTAGATCGATGCTCATGATGTCAATCTCTGTAGTGTATGGTCTAAACTCGATTATTTACAGACCGTCGTCATATAGCTGGAATATTGCTGAGTGCGGCGTTAAATAACAAACAAACGCATGTTTCTACTGACTGTCCCTTGTTAATGTGATGCATTGTCGTCACCAGCCAACTGTTATGATTAATCCTCCACCTACTATAGATATCCTGTACCATGTTCTTAATTTAGTCTTGCTTGACAACCGTATAAGGATCTATATCGAAACGTCGCCTTTACAGTAGATAAAGAAGTTGTTATCCATAAATTGTGTCTACTTTGTTATCCGTCAACTTCTAAGTAATGCCTTTCAAGCGATGCATGTATTGTGAGATACTTAAACATTTGCTCTCTTTGCCAAAAATCCATAAAGTTTTACTCAGAACTTTTGTGATTCCTGTGCTGAAATCTTCGACAGTGAAATAGTATATATTTCATATCGCCACGCGTGAGAATCAAGTGGTATGGTGGAGAATATTAAGTTCTCAAAATAATGTTCGGACACATGATTTTCAGCCTTGAATGGAATAAAATGTTCTAAAACCTGTGATAACACTTCTCATCTCTTGTTCTATTAACGCCATCCTGCAGAGATATTTAATCTAACACCAATCCTATGACTACGTAAACCAGTTGCAGACTTTGGCAGTTCGTAGTCAGGCCTACAGGACAGTAGGCATAGTACAAGCTCAACATCCGATAGGCTGTGGAGATATACACTAAAGCCTATTGGTCCAACGTTGATCAGTTTGCACCATTGTTGATCCCGTATATTATTAAGGTCATCACAACGATCAACCTTCTACCCCATGGCCATGTCTCACAAAGGCATGTGACATCCTTAAGATCTCTTATGGAGGCACATATATGGAAAGAAACTTTGTAGGAGCTCTGCACAATGGATTTGCCTGAGCTAACTTTCATGCTGTGGGTGAAATGGAACGTTTTTGTGCATCAATGAAAACCAAAAGAGTTCTTCGTCCTTTGCAATTCGTTCAGCTTGTACTTCTGAATCAGCCTCATCACATCAGGTATAAATTCAGGTGGTCTTTTTGCATAAGCCATGCACATAACACAGGTCTGGTCATGAATACCAGATGAGGAAGATATATCTGGTTCATATTGATGAGGTTTCCTGCAAAAAGAAGTTGCCATTATCAATCACGGCCTCTAAGGGTAGTAGTCCCAACAGGCCAAGGCATACATCAGTCCTTACTCTCTTTTGCAACCCTTGGATGACATTGGTCACATGTGGACAGGATCTCTCAAGTATAAGGAGTTCAGTAGAACTGGTAGAGTTCCAAAAATGACATCCAAAGAAACACTTTGGTGGAGCAACAACCTAGATATGACTTGTTATAAGATAAGTTATTGGACTGACAAATTTTGGACCTTGTCCTCAGCGTGTTTGTCTGTTTGTTGTTTAACGCCGCACTCAACAATATTCCAACAAAGACCTTTAGCTTATTGCTTGCCTCCAGAGTCTTCTCGACAGAGTGAAAGTCATCCGCGCGTATACAACCAACCTGCTAGTCTGACTTCGTTAGAGGAAAAGGGTGCCCATAGAGCACCCATTATTTGCGCTGGTACATGTACTTGCGCAGACCCTATCCTGCTACGAATTCTGAAGTTCTTTATCTGGCTTTTAGCGGGAGAGAGTGTGAAACGCTACTGTTAACTGTAATCTTCAGCGATTGTCAAAAGAGACAACAGATTCATTGAACTTGAGAGAGAATGACATGTGGAAAGTGGAGGCGGCCTTGAAGACCAGGGGAATAGGCCCCACGAACCAGCTACACTGGCCAAATGTAATTGATGGATTTAAGTTGTTGGTGTCCATAGTATAAATGCTGGATTGTTTTTGTAAAAGATAACGAGGGGTGGGTATCCGATCTTCGTTCACCTACGTGTACGGGAAGGATAAATAATCTTTAATATGTATATTCTTGCTCTCAATTTTAAACCTAATGCGGTTGCGAAACTTCATTGCTAAAATTTAGTTTGTAACATATTTTCCAGTTTTCCCCCTTCCCGAGCAAGATGACAGACCGAAAAATGGTAAGGAATTCGGATATGTTTAAGCAATATAAATATTGTTTATAACAACGTCAAATTGATCTGGTTTCCAGATAACCATTTCACAACGACGTCGCCAACTTGGGGATTGGTAGCGTTATAAAATTACGTTTTCACATTATGTAAAGAGTTTCGTCACTTATATGTGTAACGTGTTGGGGTTTTTTTAAAAAAGGATGGCAACATTTTTATAAATACATCACGTACACACCCATCACCCTTTTTTTAATCTGCGGGACATTCTCTGTTCTGAGATATCAGCTGCGGTCAGTCTAAGCAAAATTACTGAAAATGACCTCTGAAAGTTTGGTTCATCGTAAATAACGCTACTTTTGACATTTTACCAAATTATCATCTACCGTCTTACACTACAACGCAAAAGTTTGTTATCGTGTTCTGCAGTATAGCTTATTGCTTGCCTCCAGAGTCTTCTCGACAGAGTGAAAGTCATCCGCGCGTATACAACCAACCTGCTAGTCTGACTTCGTTAGAGGAAAAGGGTGCCCATAGAGCATTATTTGAGCTGGTATATGTACTTGCGCAGACCTTTTTCTGCTTCGAGTTCTAAAGGTCTTTTTCTGGCTTTTAGCGGGAGAGAGTAAGAAACGCTACTGTTTATTAAATCTTCAGCGATTGTCAAAAGAGCCAACAGATTTGTTGAACTTGAGAGAGAATGACATGTGGAAAGTGGAGGCGGCCTTGAAGACCAGGGGAATAGGCCCCACGAACCAGCTACACTGGCCAAATGTAATTGATGGATTTAAGTTGTTGGTGTCCATAGTATAAATGCTGGATTGTTTTTGTAAAAGATAACGAGGGGTGGGTATCCGATCTTCGTTCACCTACGTGTACGGGAAGGATAAATTATCTTGAATATGTATATTCTTGCTCTCAATTTTATACTAAATGTGGTTGCGAAGATTCATTGCTAAAATTTAGTTTGTAACATATTTTCCAGGTGTCCTTGAGGGAGGGGGTGTCCTTCCTGAGGGAGATGCCAGACAAAGAAGTGGTAAGGAATTCGCATATGTTTAAGCAATATAAATATTGTTTATAACGACGTCAAATTGATCTGGTTTCCAGATAACCATTTCACAACGATGTCGCCAACTTGGGGATTGGTAGCGTTATAAAATTATGTTTTCACATTTTGGAAAGAGTTTCGTCCCTTATATGTGTAACGTTTTGTGTTTTTTTAAAACGGATGACAACATTTTTATAAATACATCAAGTACACACCCTTCACACTTTTTTTTAATCTGCGGGAAATTCTCTGTTCTGAGATATCACCTGCGGTCATTCTAAGCAAAATTACTGAAAATGACCTCTGAAAGTTTGGTTCATTGTTAATAACGCTACTTTTGATATTTGATCAAATTATCATCTACCGTCTTACACTACAATGCAAAAGTTTGTTATCGTGTTCTGCAGTAAAGTTGCGAATAATACGCGAATATTCCGGAAATCAGTTGCGGATTTCATACGAAATTTAGTTTATTGCTTTATGGCACTAATTAGGTGTTTTATGGGACTATCACGCCGTCAACGTGTGGCGGGCTATGGCAATAGTCTGATGCTACACTGTGAATGGATTGCAGGTGCATATAATGTTTGATAAATACATGTAAACACCAGTTTGTAAAATATTCCAGCTATAATAATAATGTCATTAAATATTCTTATTGATATGAATGTTTGATTTATGATCAACGTGCACCGTGTCTCTTGTCTTGTAGTATATATATGTACATGTGGGTGCAGGGATGCTGGCAAACTGGGGATATACCGACGATTAATGAACACCCACACACAGGCAAGCAAAACAACCAAAACTCGCAACCACTAAGACAACTACCACAACAAACACACTAGCAACCTACAACACAAGAAGTTATCCCCATAGACACCAAAACACAAAACACAAATGGAGAAGGCTCATTTATAACAGACGAAGACACTTCTTCATCAAAGCCAATAAATCCTCTAAACGCAAAACACCAAACCTAACAGGAACCTAAACTCTTAAACAACCTCACAATGCTACTCGCATGTGCACTAAAACAAAACACACCCACCGCAAATGTTAAACCTTCCATGCGGTGGCCCACAAACTCACCACTCTTACCTTCAATAATCTTCAATAACCAACTGAAGGAATTTTTAAAAATATAGCCTCCATGAACCAAATAATTTTTTAGAAGTAGAGACGCCTGTTGTGTACACACAAGGGCAGTGATGACAATCATCGGTGAAGTCAGTGCCATAAACAAAGGATGAAGCCAATAATGTAATAACGGGATTATGGCTGATTGGGGTCTTTGATGAGTGGATGGTACACCGGGACTAAAAAAGGTTTGTTTACTTCCGGCATGGTCGGACGCCATTTTGTTGTGCATTAGCCCTCCTTCAAATCCACTTCCTACCCAAATTGGGATCTCGAACCTAACCAAAAACAGGGATATCGAACTAAGACTATCCAACTACACCAGCGAACGCCACTATCGTTCCACGGCCAAGCCGGCCCCCGGACTAGGAGACCCACTCGCCTCTCCGTCTGGAAAACTACTGGCATTCATCCAACAATATCCAATCTTTTTATTACCGCTAAGTATATCTACCTTTATCCCCTCCTCCCATACTGCATGCTTACTTACTCCCTTTTTCTTTATACTATTGTGCTATTACTGTGTTACCCCCCCCCCCCCCCCCCCCCCCCCCCCCCCCCGCCCCCCACTCAATCCCCTTTGATTTCGGCCTCGACCTGGAAGAATTAAACCTTATCCTCCCCCCACCACCGTCAGGTACATCCCCCCCTCCCCCCACCCCAAACCCAACCACCTCAAAACACCACCCCCCTACACATTGAACCCCATATTATAATTCAACAACCCCAAACCCCAAGCCAGGCCATACAACCCCCAACAGAAAACAAACAACCATCACCTAAACAAACAAAACGCCCTTCTCACTCACCCCCTGAAATAGAACAAACAACCAAATTGACAATAAAACCTGCTCTCAACAACCCCCCCCCCCACAAACAACTACATTAACCAAACACATTCTACTCGCATTCTCTACCACATCCACCCCGTTAAACGACACCTTTTCCACCAACAAATTCGCCCTCTGCCTGCACAAAGCAAATATTACCTACAAATACATAAACAAATGCGGCAGGGGATACAAACTTACATTTCCAAACCATGAAACACTCACATATGCCAGCAGACATCCCATTATAGACGGACTTAACATCACATGGCAGGTGCCAAAATGGTTCACACAGATACAAGGGGTTATTTATATTGATCACAGGGACACACAAGAAGACATCCAAGATTACATTAACATGGCTAACAAACACCACACCCAACCCAAGATCATACATTTCAAAAGCATCAACAATCGTACACCCATCCCGGGCAGGACAACAACCCAAACAATATTCCTCACATTAAAACAACTGAACTCCCTACACACATCATTTTCGACACACTTACATACAAAGTCAACCCAGTTAGGAAAAAAAAACCTCAATGCTCCATATGCCATTCATTCACCCACCCAACATCCACATGTAGACAGCCACCCATGTGCCAAAAGTGCGGCTCGTACAGACACGAAGCCGCAGAATGCACATGGGCCCCATATTGCATACACTGTAAATCAGAAGGACACACAGCTACCCAAAACACCTGCCCGATCAAACAGTCACACATCCTAAAGCTCAACAAACACATTACCAAAACCCAGTTACCCAAACCAGCTACAATTCCCATATACAACTCCATCCCTGACTTCATTGACCTTGACTCTACATCTGACTCCCTGTCCAGCTCCCTCCCAGAAACCCCCCCCCCCCCCGCCCCCAAGGGAGAAAACGTAAACAACTCTTCGGGAAAGATAACCCCAACCAAGCTCCACCCCCCTCTACTACCCACCCCCGCCCCCACATCCTCCTCCCTACCCTCATCCCCCCCTCCCCCTCCCCAACCACCCCACCCCCCACAGGCCTAACCCCCAAACAGCTCCCAAATCGGCTCTGTTACCCACCCCCCACCCCCACCTGCCCCCAGCTCCTCACCAATCCCTTTCTCTAATCCCCCCTGTCCAGGCCCCCCTCCCAACCCTTCCAAACCCCCCTATCCCGGCCCTCCTCTCCATTCAAACTGCCCCCCCCCCCCCCCCCCCCCTGACCTACCCACACCCATACAGTCCCAAACAGACCTATCCCTTCCCAAACCCCTCCACCCAGCCAGATCAGCCATTCCAATTCCATCAAACCAACCCCAACACAAAAACAAACAAATCAACTACAGGATAAACACAACACGAAAACAACTACTCTCTCACAAACTTCAAACACTCAAAACAACCCCCCAACTTATAGTCACCCCCAAAAAACTTCACTCAAACACACACAAACTCATAGAATTCATCTCAGCAGCCATTCTCCTTAGAAACCCCACCACCAAGAAACTCCACTCCCTAGCCCACCAAGCAAACATATACCAAAAAACCCTACAAAATTTCCAGGCAGCCATAAGGACCCTCAAATGATACCCCGTCTACACTATTCCAAATTAGCCCCGGAACACCAACCATTCAACTTCCCCTTCATTCTAAAACCAGCTAATGGTGTTCATTCAGTGGAATTGCAACGGGATCGCCACCAATGGGCATGAGCTTAAGGTCCTCATCGCCCTTCAAAAAATCTCTCCATTATCAATCGCAGCCCAAGAAACTAAATTATCCCCCCAAAAGACCTTCAAAATCCCAGGCTATGTTCTCATTCGGAATGATAGACCCCGACCCACTAACTGCCCCGGACCACCACACGGTGGCCTTGGCATCTTCATCAAAAATCATCTTGACTATGACATAATAGATATTCCCACCCCAAACCTTGAATGCCTGGCCATCAAAACAACTATAAACCAAACTAAAATCAGTATTATTAATGTCTACCATAGCAAAACAAAACCCTTCACAGGTGAAGACCTTAATGTCTTAACCAAATTTATTGATCCAAATACCATCTTTCTAGGCGATTTCAATGCTCATCATCCACTGTGGGGCACAAAAAACTATACAGATAGATTTGGCAAACTAATTCAAGAATGGTCAGAATCAAACAATCTTATTTGCTTAAATGATAACCAACCCACTAGGTACCCCACAAGCCATCTCCAATCCCCCACAGCAATCGACCTCACCTTCACCACCCCCCATCTCCATTCTAAACTCTGCTGGGAGGCCCATTCGGACACCTGGGGCAGTGACCACACGCCCATAAAAAATTCTCTATCCCTACCCACCCAAATCCCACCCCTATCCCAATCCCAATCCGCCCCCCCCCTTCAGACCACACACCCCAGCAATCCAAATTCAATCTTTAAAAGGCTGACTGGAAAACATTCCACACACTCTGCAATCAAATAAACACACACCATATACACAACATCGACAACGACATTTTCAACACAAACTTTACCAATACAATACACAATATAGCCCTTAAATGCATCCCAACAGTCAAAATCTTACCGCACCATATCACTGTCCCCTGGTGGAGCTCGGAAATAGAAAACTCTAGAAAATTTAGGAAAAAAGCTCTAAATAAAGCCAAGCGGGACATAACCAAACTCCCCTTGGCAAAATATCTCAGAAATTCAACTAAACAACTTATAAGAGCAGCCAAAAGAAAACATTGGCAAACATTTACCAGCTCCTTGAAAATGGGGAAACAAAATACCAAAATTCTATGGAAAAAACTTAAAGCCAGAAAGGGCACTTCAAAAACCTTCTCAGCCCCATCTTTTCCTAACCTAAATACCGACAAAGAAAAGGCTAATGCCATGGCTGCTCACTTCTCGGCCACTAGCAGCTCCGCCAACCACACCCCCATCATGCAAGACACTATTAAAAACCACCCCACCTATTCTCACAGACCACCCCTCACAAGCATGTCAAACAATAAAATAATAAACATTTATGAATTACAAACAG